CGGGTGGAGTCAGAGACCAAGGAGGCTGGAGGGTAGGAACAAGGGAGAAACGGTATGTGGTGGCCACAGGGACTTTTTGGTAACATGGACCTCTTAAAAAAAAAAAAAATAGATTACTTCTATCCAAAAAGTCATTTAAAGAAACATTTACCTATTTTCATCACTAATCATTTTTCTATTATAAGTTTTCATTTTTCTGTGTTAAGTTTTTCCCAGTCCTCATTTTATTTGTTGGAATTGATTACAATGTTTCTTTTATTCTCTCCACTTCCCCTAACTCCAACAGAAGAGATTCCTCTGCATTGCATGGAGTTCTAGGCTTCTCATCTTTGCCACAAAAGCCTTTGCAGGTCAGCCCTTGACAATCGGCTATAGAGGTTCAGATTATGGGACTGTTGGGGAGAGCAATCTCGTTTTGCTCTGCATTCCCACATTTATTAATCCCTGACTCCAAGAATGGCTTTCTCCAACCTAGTGCAAACCAGAGAGTGGACATAGCGAGATAAGGCTTCTCTAGGTACCAGATTCTTACCTCAGTCTTCCAGTCCATCTTAACTGCTGTCCAAACTGAGGTCACTTCGCGCTTTACTCATTTTAGGAGTAAGACTCCATCTCTTTTATTTCCTAACTGTAGCCAGCAGTTAATTTAAATACAAGTCTTATTTATCTTACAGATTCTCCTTAAATTGCCTCAATTGTATTTTCTTAGCCAAACTATAATTCTTTTTTTTTTTTTTTTTTTTTTTTGAGACGGAGTCTCGCTCCTGTCGCCCAGGCTGGAGTGCTGTGGCCAGATCTCAGCTCACTGCAAGCTCCGCCTCCTGGGTTCCCCGCCATTCTCCTGCCTCAGGCCTCCCGAGTACCGGGACCACAGGCGCCGCCACCTCGCCCGGCTAGATTTTTTTGTGTTTTTTAGTAGAGAACGGGGTTTTTCGCCGTGTTAGCCAGGCATGGGTCTCGTCTCCTGACCCTTGTGATCCGCCCGTCTCGCCCTCCCAAAGTTGCTGGGATTAGCAGGCTTTGGGCCCCACCGCGCGGCCGGCCCTTGCAAACTATACATTCTTATCAATTGGTTTGTCATGTTAACAAGTTTGCCTTTAAAAAATGTTTTTTATCTGGAAATTCTCACACCTCATTAAAATAATGGGCAGTGTATTTTCAAACAAGGACTATCTTGCCCTCAGTTTTTTTCCCTGCATTTAACAAGGAAAAACAGAGAATAACGGCCTGTTGGCGGATGGCCTCAGCACACCCTGTCAATCCCAGTTAACTTTGGGAGGCAAATGGAGGGCAGGATCGCTAGGTCATCGGAGATCGAGACCATTCTGGCTAACACGGCGACACACTGTCTGCTACTAAAAACTCCAAAAAAAATAGAAAGAAAGAAAGAAAGAAAGACAAAACTAGACTGGGCGTGTGGTGGGCCACCTGTTAGTCCGGCGCAGCTACTCGGAGCGACGTTAAGGCAGGAGAATGGTTGAACCCCGGGAAGCAGAGTTTTTTGCAGTGAGCGGAGATCACAACGCACTGGCGATTCCAGCCTGGGGCGACAGAGCAAGGACACCGTCTGCAAAAAAAAAAAAAAAAGAAAGAAAAGAAAAACAGAGCTAACAGTTCCTACTTCACAGTGTCCTGGTGAGAATTCACACTTAGCACAACGTCCAGCACATAGAACATAGTAAATGTTAACTCTTACTGAACACGAACACTTAGCAAAACACTGATCTTATGATAGTTTCTCAATAAATCGTAGTTTTTATAGTTTCTTAATTAGCCACAGACTGGAAAAGAATGAAAGTGAGACTTTTTTTTTTTTTATTGTTTGCAGAGATGGGGTCTCACAATGTTACCCAGGCTATTCTTGAACTGTTGGCCTCAAGCAATCCTTCTGCCTCAGTCTCCCAGTGTTGGGATTACAGGTGTGAGCCACCGCACGTGGCTGAAAGCCTTTCTGATAGGATGTTATTAGGACACTTGGGAAAGTCTTTCTTCCTCCCTCTTTCTTCCCATCTTCCCACCTGTTCTTTCTCTTCTTCCCCTTCTTTCTTCTTCCCTCTTCTTCTCTTTGCTTTTAAATCAAATATGCTGGTGGTTGAAGGGAAAGCAAAAAGAGACGGGGGCCCATAAAATTTAGGTCCAAAAAGAAGCACTCAATGGAAAATAATTTGGTCTCTGCTTAAAAGTACACAATTGCCAACACTGAGCCAAAAGAAATTTATGGTATTTTCCCAGTGGTTGGTATTTAATTAGCAATCTGCTATTGTCAATTGGCTCTGCTGCTACAAAATAAATCATTCACAAGCTATTTTGAAGACTTGTCCTGTTGCCACCACCATTTCATCAATCTTCTCATCAGCTTTGTCACTACAGATCTCAGTGATTTCTCACCTTTTCAGGAACTCTGCATGAATCTGACCTCCAGAAGTATTTGACCGCTATCATCTCAGCTATTAAATGTCAGATTCAGACATCTCAAACTGTGTGTCAAGACACTACATTCTGGCAACAATGAACCCATTACCTTTTTTCTCCCTCATCAGGCAGGCTCTTTGGGCACCCAAAATTGTATGCTGCAAGTTCTCTCAGGAGTCTAGTTTTATTGCGGATGCCTTTGAAAAGAATATCTGTTGCCAGCTCTATTCATTTCCAGACTTTTGATGGTCTGTGCCTGCACATTATGCAAATCATATCTGCTCATCTTTACTAGGTGAAAGAGGCAGCAGGGTTGGGCAATAAGAAATGGCTCGGCAACCTGCTCCATTAGCATTTTCTAGGTTTATCTGTTAAGACTATGAGTTCTTCAAACTATATTCTCTACTCTTATCAAAAAGAGTCATATGAGCCTGTTTTATTTCTGCTGAGGGGCCAGGAAAGAGCGGGATGGCCAAGGGACCCTGCGCACAAGGGGCCCATTGCTGTCAGACTTTGCAGTAAATGCTCCTGGGTTCAGGCTTCTTGTCACCTCCGCATCTTTGTCGCCGATTACTGTCTGGCATACCCCTTTCTCTACTCCCCCTCCCATTCACTCGTTTATTACTTTTTGTTCAGTGAACATTTATTAAGCCCCTACTACCTTCCAGGCATTAATATGCAAGAGAACAAGCCATTTGAAGTCCTTGCTCTCATATAGGTGCCACTCTAGTAAGACGATAGTCGATAAACCAACACATATACACTATTCCAGTAGCGATGAATGGTACACAAAAATCAAATGGGGAAGTGAGGCAGAGTGAAAGGAGGGCAGGTCTACTTTGTGTGGGGGTTCAGGAAAAGGTCTTTGCGAAGAGGTGCTATGAGATAAGACCTGAATAAAAGAAGCCAGTTGAGTAGAGAGCTTTAGGAAGAGCCTTCTAAGTGGGGGAACCTGCAAATGCGGTGGTGGCCTACAGCATGAGGGTGACGGGTGGAGTCAGAGGCCAAGGAGGCTGGAGGGTAGGAACAAGGGAGAAACGGTATGTGGTGGCCACAGGGACTTTTTGGTAACATGGACCTCTTCAGTAGTTGAGCAGAACCTATGAATCCTTCCTGGAATATGGTTTTTAAATAAATAAAAATACAAATGATTACAAAAGAAACTTTTTTTTGAGACAACATTGACAAGGAAACGATGTGTTATGTGGTTAGGATGCATACTACTTATGAACACATTAAAACAAGATCTTACGGTGGGTCTACCATAATCTGAAGTCAAGATGAGCATAATTAGTGTTTTGAGATCTCTGCAACAACTGCTATGTGATAGGAAATATCTGTGATTTCTACTGATTACAAAGTCACAAAAACTGCTGATACCACTGTGATTTGGAGCTACAGTCATGATGGGAGGAGGTACTAAATTTTAACTAGAGGTTAGTGAAAATAACTGTAAACTTTGTCCCAAATTTACAAACTCTCTGAGACCTCTTGAGTCTGTGGACCGAGGATCAGGTGTTCTTGGTCTTGTGGTAGGACAGGCATTTGGATTTCACTTCCAAAGGAAAGAAGACCCAGGAAAAACATTCAGGCTACACTCTACCTTCTGTTCAAACCAGAATGCACCCGGAGTCTTCCTTGACTCTGTCCTCTGCCCAGCACCCGCACTGCCCTGGGCACCCTTTATCCTAGCACTTTCCACAGTATCCTGTGATCACTACCTGTTTATGTTTTCTCCATCAGACTGTAAGCTTTCTTAGGACAGGAATTGCATATCAACTGCTTTTGTATAAACAGTGTATAATGCCTGGGACGTGCCAGCTACTCAGTGAGTATTTGCTAAATAAATAAATAAAGACTGAGAGGCTTTTAAAAGAATTACACATGAAATCTAAGCTGCCAACATTTTTTTGAAGGGCATATTTTCCTTTCAGAAACAAGTTACATGTGGAAATACATGAGAATTAAAAAATAGTATCATCAGAACTGGTAATGAAAATATTGACATCTTTGACAGTGTTGATAATGTTGAGTGGATTAAAAAAAGACAGAAAAATTAAAAGTAGATTAACTGAAAAAAAGGATAATGCAGTTACCTAAAGACCGAGGTTTTCTGGTGTTTCAAATCACACAAGCCTTTGCAGGAAAACAGAAAGCAAAGCAGGCAAATGGGGTAAGCAGTGCGCCCATCAGCTACAGATCAACAGATCACAAGCTTAGGCTTGGGGGTGAGTTTCCTGAAGTCTTGACTTTCTCCAATTTATGCTTAGGATAAGTTTCTCATTTTAGACAACAGTCTAAAGCTGCCTAACTCCAGCACACTGCCATCTGTCCAAGATAAAGGAAAGAGCAGGGTAGAATTTTCTCCAAGCCTGGGCCACGTCCAGAGTGTCGCTGGATCTCTGCACACTATGGCTGGTTTTCAGTCCCTTTCCTCATTTGAGGATAGGAACAGAGTTCAAGGCTTGAATCTTAATCTGTATGAGACACATGCACTGGCTTTATACATGCACAACTCCATCAGTTAAGAAACAATGTAAAATGTT